CGAGTAGACACATACATGTATAAATAAGCGTGTTGCGGGTCTCATCGTAATCCATTATACGATCATGGATTGTGAGGACAAGGCAGAGCAAGGTGGGATTGTTATTGGGCTTGAGGTGGCCCCAGTCCACTGAACCTACAGTAGCAGGATTTAGCCCCATTTCCCACCCAAGGCTGAGATCCTAAAAATCAGTGACCGGGGAGTCATATCTCTCGCAACCATTTGGAATTACTCCCAAGTCAATGTTTTTAGAGGCACGGTGTAAATCTGAGTAAGTCTAAGCAGCCTGTTTAAATGGGCGGTGGATTTGTGCAAAATGAACCATTTCCCCTTGGCCTGAATTTCATGGTATGTCTGAGAAATCGCTGGAGATTATACACATCAGAATATGATTTCCTTAACAAATACGCGCGTGAAATGTTAAGTTGAAGCACTAATAAAACCTAGCCCTGAAATCGGAAGCTTCTTGAGCTATTTTAATCAAGCGAGAAACCCGGGGAAGTTCATGGAAGAACACCAGAATCCGAAATATTTCATATAGAAATTAAGCACGTTTGGAATAATAGAATTTGCTCCTTAACAAACAATTTTAGGATCGGGGGTGTAAATCTACTAATCTCCCATATACGCGTTTTAGGAGGCTCAGAATTTAAACTATAATGCGGCAAGTTATCCAGAGGAACTTAAGTTTCGAAATTCAGGGTCCGCATCCGAAGGGTTCTGATTTGTTATCGTGACCTTTTGTAGAGAATTCACCATGAACCGCACAGCCTGCGTCCGATTTTATTCCCCTGCATTTCTCAGGGATGAGGTTGACAATGACTGCAGCCGAGAAGAGGAGAACATATCACATGGGCTGCGTTTCTTTTTTAAAAAAGTCTTTTTGCGAGGTGAGGGAGAAAAGGATAACAAACCCTCTTTATTTGCCCATGGCTGAATTTCCAGGGTGTCGCAGACTCGCAATCGAACTGAGAAAACGTGATGACCAGAGACCAGCTGGCTGACTGAGCTTCTTACGCAGTTTACTTCCCATGGAGGCATTTTGCAATGGCTTCCCAACGGGCCCAGGAACGGACAAGCCTTCTTGGGATTGTTAGTTGGGGCGCGGGAGGGAAGAACAAGACTCCATTGGATACAAATACCCTTTTGGCACGCAATTGCTCATGCTGCAGCTACTACTACTTCTACTACTACTGCCACCACCATTCCCGATATTACTGCAACGTTTGTCTATATTTAGAATTAAGGCTGAAGGAGTCCTGGTTTGGGACTAGAAATGCACACGGATATCTTAAAAAATAATTTAAAAAAATACTCAGTCTGCAATTAACAGGAATGCTGTGCTTTCAAAACAACCACTCATTTTCAGTCTGCACTCCTCTTAGTTAATCAGAGGAGGTTTCACAAGAAGTAGATGTAAAAGTGGTTTTTGTCTCACTCCATCCCTCTTGCTGATATTTTTAAGAAAACTGGAGTTACCTCTGTGTGTAGGTGCCAACCTACAATGGGAATGTTTAGAGTATACGATGGCTCCTGCCTGGGTGCAGAATTGGAAGGATTTTTACTGTTGTTGTTGCTTCAGTTATATATATATATATATCGCTCTGTGTGTATATCACATTAAAGAGCATTGCATTTATTGGTTTAACGTGGCATGGGTAAACTTTAAAAGCAAAGTGCCAAAGTATGTAGCAGATGGATTCTCACCTCAGTTATCTCCAACGAGTTCGTGTAGCAGTCCCACTGAACTCCTAAGGATTAAATCTGGGTTCCTTGTCTTGATTTGGAAGACGATATTGGTTATATAGTTGTTAATAATGTACTCAGACGTGCACGACTGCACCTCTTGAGTATATCCACAGGCACAGATTTATGCATATTTTGGCATTTTCGTTCCATACAATGCACATATATTCCCATACCTGAAATAAGTGTTTTGAATAATAGTTTACGCATTCCATACATGATAAAAGCTGCATTAACAAAAGATGTTCACAGTGGTTTGCGTATTGCAGAACGCACGGGATCCACCTGTAATCCAAGTATACATTAGCATATATTTATGTGCCACTAAATGCCATACACTCACACGCCAAATTACACACGTGTAAACTAATAATATGTGCCATCATGCTCTCCAATTAATTGTCTAGTCACATTTTTTGGTGAGGCTTTAAGTACTGTGTTTAATTATTGGAACGTCCGGGAACTTATTTGAAAACACTTAGAATTGTACCTAACGCCACAGCATATACAATAAATAGTAAAGAGTGAGGTCAGTAGGAAAAGCAACTTGGAAACTAGGGTCCAGAATTTAAGAGAGGTAACTGGGCGATATTGTATTATCCAACCCAATTTGTGCCCTCAGTGTCCTCGGGTAGATCATCTGAACTCCTACATTGGGATTCTTTCCAAGAGGATAAGGACAGTGGGGCACCTAGCCCCGCGAAGGTCAGGGAGTTTGACCACAGACTTCAAGGGGAGCCAAAATCCCTATTCGCATTGTTCAAGGAAGATGAGTTCTGACGTGCAGCGGGCAAGCTGAGACTGAGGCGCACTTTCCAAGGTCACAGCTCTTAACATGCAATTAGTATGCAGGAAACAAGTAGCGAATTACTTTCCCAGCAGCGCCGCAAAGTTCGGAACTCTTGCCCTTTCCCTATTCTGGATAGTTCCAGGTGTAGAGAGCCCGTCAAGGCGTCTAGGATCCATCGCTAAAGTCACCCAGAAGCCCCCTAAGTCCTCACTAACGCCATATAAACACTCTCTGTAAAAGCAAAAAAATGCTCTGTATGTTAGGAAACAAATTCCGGTTGCTGTTTTGAAAATGCCATTCCACAGAACCAAAACATCAGTTTATTTATACTTGCATCCCCCTTATTCTCAGTTTAAAGATAGCCGGTTTTCGCTTGCATAAGATCTCTGTTGTCTGAGAGTTTTAGCTCCGTCCGTCTTCAAAGAAAAGCAGTGAACTTGGACCTCATTGGGAAGGGAAGGACCAACCAATCTGAGCATCTCAGTCTCAGTAGCTTGAGAACTGAGGTGGCAGGAGGCCTTAAGAAAAGATTTCTGGAGAGGCTCATTATTGGATTGCCAGGCATTTCTGCCAGATACATTAAAATAGCCTTTCAATTCAATTCAATTCATTCATTCATTCTATATTTCACCGAGCAAAAAAAAAAAAAGAGCCCACAATAAAATCCTTCAAACAGTTCCTTTGTCTAAGAGATCATTTCGCGTTCTGAAATACTACCTGAAGGTATTAACAATTTATACTGTATTAAGAAGACCACTTTACTGGGTTGTTGGCCGTGCTCAGTTGTCCCATTAAAATTAAGGGCCATGAATAACTTAGGCACATTAATTTCAATGGATTTACTCTTAGTAAAACTTATTGGGTACCACCCACTGTCCCAGAGAGTCACTTTAAATAGCTAAAAAAAATATGAAAGAAATAAAAGGTCATGTGACATCTTAAAGACTAATACATTTATTGTGACTTAAGCCTTGGAGGACCCCCTGAAGACGAGCAAAAGTGAAATATACATTGGTAGTTATGTAATCTCCTACAGGACGTGTATGCGTATGTGTATATGTGCACACATATGCGAACATACGCGCATGGATGTACATGCACACATGAGCGTAGCCAATAAAATTCAATAAAAATACATAGCAAACTAAGGTTCTGGCCCCCCACAAAGGACTCCCCCCTAACAAAAGGCCTGCCCTCCCTATCAAAAATACGCCCAAGCATGCACACACATTTCCCCCTGCCTATCACAGAAAGAGAGTCCTTCCTTTGTAGCACGTTAAAGGCGAACAGATTTATGGCGGCATACATATGCACACTCGTGCACATCCATATATCTCGACTGGTGGCGGAGAGATAGACCTACGAGTCCTGACGTTTCTGAAAAGATCGAAGACGTAGCCAATACCTCAGGGTCGCCTGTGATAAGTTACGATCAGTAGACAAAGTATTAGCGTTTATTTATTATGTCTTTATATATGTAGGGAGCCGCCCAGAGTGGCTGAAGCAACCCAGTCAGATGGGCGGGGTACAAATAATAAATTATTATTATTATTATTCGCCTTAAAAGTTGCCTGACCGCTCTAATTAGGGTGGCGAGCAGGCAGCAAAGAGCTCTTGGAGATATATATATATAAACAAAATGCAAGGCGCTCTCAGGAGCCCAACGCCCAGTCAAGGAAGAAGCGTCTTAATATGCACTGGTCTCCGAGACCAGCCCAAGAGACGGGGATGTGAAATGAGCCGTAGACTAATGCCGCCCGGTGTGTTTTCCTGCATCCTGACTAGTTCGGCTGACGCCCGCCTGGTGAAGCAGGCGCCAGGTGACAGGCCTCGCTGGGTTTCCATCCTTCGCAGCAGTGCCGACAAAGCCGAAGTGGAAACACGAGGTGGCGCCCTTCATCTACTAATCCAGAAGAAGGCTATTCATGAGCTGTCAAAAGTCAAGGTCACAAATTGTCTTTTCTCCACCCCCTACCCCCATCAAGGTCAAGGTTTAAGGCCTTCCTAGTCCTGTCATTTCAACAAATACCAAAACCTCTCTCTCTCTCCTTGCTCACCCCCAAAAAAACTCTTAACCGGTCCTGCCAATAAACCTTAAATACGACACTCTTGCATTTGTGGTCTCTAACAACTGTTTTTCATTCAGGAAGGGGTGCTCCGGCTCAACGTTTATATCTCCTCCCCCCCCACCCCCCCGCTTCAGAATACCTGACTCTTTAACCTCACTGAAACATTTATAGTTTAGTTATCACGCATTCGCTTTCTGGGCTAGGTAATTTATGGGGAAAATATGGACCATATCAGCAATTTAGGAGAAAACATTAGGCCTGCAGGATAAGTACATTCGTCCTGAAATTCACATATATGTATATATCAGAGGGAAAGAAATAAAGGAGGGTTTAAGCAGGCTTTATTACAGTGACTATTTTTTATTAACAGTATTAACACTAGTATCTATCTACAGCTCTTAGATTTTCATTTTCAGTAAAAATATAAAAAAACAAAAAACAAACCAAGGGTGCACCAATACATTTTCACAGTGTGCTGATTAAAAAAAAATATTTACAAGATAGCCTCTCCTTGTGAAGGGGGGGGGGAGGGATAATAATGTGCTGGCTGAAGTTGCAGACTGATTTGTTTCAAGGGGTGAAAGTGCTGTAAAATGAATTCCTATACTTACTAATGCAGCCTGATAACTGAAAACGAAGAAGGAAAAATGTCTACTTACTCAAAGTTCAAGCTATAGAATATAGAAATCAAGATATCTCTGGGAAGCAAAATATATTTTCATTATCAGGTCCTTTGAGATTGTTTCTCTTAGAAAGGGATTTCTGTTACATCACAATTATAACTCTCATGTCTCTGTTTCTCCCCAAGTTTGGAAAACAGTCATTTATGGGATTTACACCATTTGTTACTTGATTAATGTCGCTGATACTGAAAAGCTATAGAGTCCCTTTACAAATCTCTGGAGTATTCTATTATCACTGAGTTTAGGGATCAAGAAATGAGCGATTGGAAAGTAAATCAATTTTCTTTTTGGTAAGGTTACCCTTTTTACACCCGGTAGTTTAGACTGGTTTTAATTTCTTTTCAAGGTTCATCATTCGCAGAGTTTCCTTCATTACTGCTGTCTTTGGTACTTAGTACCTTCCTCCAGAAAGAAAATAAAACAGAAAACACAAAAGGCATTGCTTTAACATACAGTAATTGTACAACCCCACCCCACCCCCGTGTTTACCTGAGCAACCATTCAAACATGCTTTTGGGAAGCAACGCAAGAAATTGGATCGCAAAGTGTGTGCGTGTGTGTGCGCGCGCGCGCGCGTGTTTTTTAAAAAAGCCATATTTCAGATTACAGTCCTAAATAGTGTCCTACAACAGTCACAGTAATACTTACACGCTTTTCTCGACAAAATGTTTATCTTTCTTAACTGAAATATTTCTGGATTGGGCATTTGGGCTCTCAGACTCAGTCACTGAAATGGCCTCTTCTGGATTTCGGGAGCACTGACAAGTCTTAAAGCATTTCTCAAGAACCCATACTTTCTCTCTCTCTTTCTCGCTCTCTCCAAAAGCCATAATTCCAAAGAGACAGAGAGTTCTGGTGAAAGAAGAGGTTCATTGTCTTTTCTTATTTTCTTATTACTTATTATTTACTTATTATTATTATTATTATAATCTGGACCAAAAAAATATAGAGAAAGAGAGTTGGTTTTTTAGGCCTCTGGGCAGCTGCGCTTTCATTTAATCCGTTAACTCGTCGTCTTCAATTTGTTGATGACTTTTTTTTCTTTCACCCTTCTGTTTTGGAACCAGATTGTGACCTGCCTCTCTGAGAGGTTCGTAGTAGCCGATATCCTTCTGCGCTTGTCCTTGGTAATGAATTTATTTGTAGCATATTCCCTTTCCAGTTCCTTTAACTGAACTTTGGTGTAAGGCACTCTCTTCTTTCGCCCACGCCGGTAGGAGTTGGCATCCGAAGGGTGCGAAACCACGTCTAGAATAATAATAATAATAATAAAAGAAAAAAATAAAAACAGGAAGGCGGGCATTAGCATTATTACGACCATCAACTGATATCAATTTATTACTCTTCACCATGCCTTCCCCCTTCGCGCAGTGACAAGCTAAAATGGACTGCAATCAACAGGCCTGCCTTGGCTCCTAAGTCATCACCCAGAAATGCGGGCTTTGCTTTTCTGCTGCTAGCAAGCGCTTCGCTGCAAGCTCTTTTCCCTGTAACACCAAAAGACTGTAGGAAAATTATACGCAGTTATAATAACCGATGAAGCGTGCGAGCTGAAGCCTCGGTGGAAAATTCTTGTTCACCGGGAAGACTTAATGCCCCTTGGCAGACTTGTTCAAGCCCATTCCCTCCTCGGAAAGAAATATATAAACAAACAAATCGTGCATATGTTCTAGAATCTAGATCCAGCAGAGCTGAGGTACCCGAAACTTAGTTCTGGTACCGCTGAAGAAGGGGAGGGGGAGCGGAGAAGAGGAGACTGATGGTCGAAATAATTTGGAAGTAGAGCAGTCAGAACGAGTAACAATCTTCTGACTTGAAGCTAGACAGCTACAAGTACAGTATTGCAGCTTCTAGTACTTTTCTGGTGCAGTAGCAATATATATATTATACACACATATATATTGGTAAAGCCGCTGATCGTAGAGGAATAATCTGACTAAGGGAGTTCATTCTTCACCAGGAAGGCTTTATGTTAATCAGAAGGCTAGTAATTGAGCAAGTAAACAACAACAACAAGTTTTATTATATAGCCCAAACCGAGGAACTAAACTGGATGATAGTGGCGTAGGGAATGGCAACAGTGATACTAAGGAAGAAGGGACTTAATCATCATAATCAAATTATTTATGAGAGGCTTGATCTAACGAGTATTGGGAGAGTGTGAATAAGAGGACAAACGCTACAATATTATAAGTATTATTATAATTTCTGCTAGTTGGGTTGGTGACGTTGCAAAAGAGGTAAATATTAATATACCAGTAAACTAGTAAAATCTTCCCTATTTTGGCTGGAGAGACGGAGAGAAAGAAGCAGAAACGCGCTTGGTGAGAGAGATGATAGCGAAGCAACAATCGGATCTTTCATGCATTACTCGCAAGTAAACCCTACTGTTTTCTATAGATTCAAACACACGCACTCTCTCCCTATGAAAGTTAATAACAAATGGCTCATATATAGGTAACCACGTTGTAGAAGGTAAGAGACTGGCATTAAAAACAACTCTCACTTCTACCACGATGATTGGTGGGACAGCCAAGTAAATCGCTAGTCTTCTCAGAGCGAGGGGCTGACCCTGCTGTGAGCGAAATAACCAAGAGGGCTGCAGTTGCACTATAAGTACGGATAGGTGCAGAGCCATCCTGGGTGCGTCTGCTCGGACCGAAACCCTCCTGAGCTGAAGGGGACTCACTCCCAGATCAGTGTGGATTAGGTTTGCAGCCTAACTGGGGCGAATTCTGTCTCTGTCTCTTAAGGGAAACGACCATATTGTTGCTAATAAGTGAGGGATGATGGTGGAGGCTTAGGAGGAGAACGGGCGTTGTTAATTCTACCGGGGCAAGGCAGACAGTGAGGCACTAAGTAAGCATTCTCCGGAGTAGAAAAGAAGGGTCGTGCAGGTGCATTACCCGGGAGAGTGGATTTCCAGAGGTGGGGCGGCTGGTTCTGTTCCTTGGGGCAGTAGACTTGCCCATTCCAGCCATTGGTGATAGCCCAGGGCTGGTAGCCTTCCATGGGCAGCATCGAGTCGTGCCTGGGCTCCCCGGGGCCTCCGATGGTGGGCACCACGGGCATATCCAGGTAGCCCGGCACCGGCTGGTAGGGTCCGGCGGCGTAGCCCTGGTAGAAGGCGAATTCCTTGGCCCGGGAGGTGAAGTCCTCTCCGGCGGCGCCTACCGACGTGTCCATGTACTTGTCGGCGAAGGAGGCGGCGGGCTGCGCGCACGACTTGAGCGCGGCATTGTGGTGGCTCATGCGGCACGGGAAGTAGCCGCTGCCGAAGTAGCCGTAGGGCAGCGCGGCCGGCCCAGACGAGCTCTGCACGGCGGCCGAGCAGGGACTGCACTGCTTGACAGATGCCCCGGGCTCAGCCATGCCCGCGGCGGCGGCGGCGGGCGCCTCGCTCGACGTGTAGGCGGCGGCGCTGCCCGGGGCGGCGAGCGAGGCTGGGTGAGCCATCAGGTTCCGGCACTGGTTGGCCGCGGCGAAGTTGGTGCCTGCGGCCGCCGCCGCCGCCGCGTGGAAACCGGCTTCCATGTTCTTGTTGATCTCCTCCAGGCTGTTGTCGTAGAGGAACATGACGGGCTCGATCCAGCGGGGATGGAGGAGCACGGAGGCTGTCATAGCCCGATCCGCATTGAGACTAGTGGCTCTTTTTTAAAAGCCCCAAAGACTGAAAAAAGAGATACTAAATCTCCCAGACTTGACCAGGGCTGACGCGCCAGTGTCGCGCCACCACGGCGCTCATTGGACCGCCCTCCCCCACGTGATATGCAAAGCAGCTGATAAACATCTGAGGAATAAAGGGCAGATAATTAAATAATGGCCTAATCGCGCCACGGCTTGGAATGCCAGCGGCGGACGGCACTCGCGCGCGCGCGCGGCCGCCCCTTCCACTCACGACTTTGCGTGGCGAGGGAGGCGCCAACGCGGGTGCAAAGGAAGAGCAGGTATTTCGCCTCCCTCCCCACCCCCCGCTCTGCAAAGTGTGGATTTCTTCCCTCTCCCCCTCCCCCTCCACTCCCTCTAGCACATTGCCTCTAGGAAATTATTTCAACAGGCTCTCACTCCACGGTCTTAATGTCAAAGCCTTCTGACTTTCTGTATTTTTCTTGCTCATCAACTGGTGGTTGGTGGTGTGTGTGGTTTTTTTTGGTTTTGGTTTTTCCTGGGGAACGTCCCGCCCTCCCCTCCCCCTCCCTCCCTCACTAGACTTAAACTCGTATTTTCTCGTGTTATAGGACTGCAAACTGCTTGTACCATTACGAGGTCAAAACACCTCTTTCTAAAACCACAACGCCTGTCAACGCCGGGTATTTCACATCTTCTCCTGACCTGTCCAGATACACACACACAAACAAACAAACATATATGTGCGTTTTGAATGATATCACTCCTCCTTTGGACAAATACATCTGAAAAAGAGGAGCAGGATCCAGAACGTAGACAGCAGATTTGCCACGGCAGGGTGTGGAAGAGAAAGAGTTAAGCAGACCTCAGAAATGAATCAGCCTCCCTGTATTATTTGTTATTGCAACAATAAAACGCGCAGCCTACAATTTTTTGCTTGAATCATCCCCGACCATAAAAATATTGCGTGGGATTATTTATTGTCTAAGAGTGACCATAGGGACTCCCCCCTTATCATCATTAATAACAAACCCTTTGCACCGAAACGCTCTGCGTAAGCACATGCACCAACACGGAAAGCCACTATGTCAATAAAAGGGCACTTCCTTGGAGTATTTTCTATTAATTAATTATTAATTAATTAATTATTAATTCATTGTTATTATCATTGGCACATACTCTATTACGAGTATATGTTATGCAGACACGACTGCTTAAGGATTTATATGCATCCTGCAAAATGCAAGTAGAAGTTAATTCATGGTAATATAATCACGCGAGAGAGTGGGGATTTGAGAGTTACTGACCTCCGACCACAATGAAGGGAGTAAACTTGTCTTTGTAAACAAAAGCAAAAGCAAGGAAAAACAAAACAAAACAAAAAACCCACCACACCCAAACCTCTGTCTGCTTGTTTGATGCACTCTTGACAGGTATTTATGAACTATTGTGCGAGCGGTTGGGGCTTGCAACATTGTTTTCGCTGCAGTGCTACAAGGATGGAATTCTAAATCGTGCATTGTTTGGAGAGACTCCCAGTCCCTTGTATGTAGGAAGGAAGAGATCTGTCAGTTCGCCTGCCTGTCCCCCAGTCTGCCCTGCCCTGGCCCTTTTCGCTGAGAATGGCATGCGACAGAGGGGACTCTTGTCACCGGACAATATTTCAGCGAATTCTCTTAATTGTAACCAATAAAGGGCTCCTTTCCTCTCCAACCCCAGCCTCCTTCTCCTCCTGGATGGTCTTTTCCGCATTCCTCCTCATGGCCAAAGGCAAATATTTATTCCTGGCATATTTTCATATCCCCACCCCCCACCCCCCACCCCGCTTTCCAGGCTTCAGCCGTTAGGAAAAATGTAGGCTTCGAAATCTTTCCATTATTTGGCAGGGAGGGGAGGGGGAGCTTCCCTTCGCCTTCCCTTTCCTTTTGGGGAATCTCATTCTTTCAAAACGCCTTGCAGCGGAGCCAAAACACAGCACACTCAGCCTTCCCCAACTCATTCAATTCATTAACCTACCCCAGCAAAAGGCTAACAGGGCAGCGCTCTTTTAGGGAGGGAGGGGAGACACGACTAGAGGCCAAGGTCAAGTTGAAAGCGGCAACCTAGCCAATGCCAGGATGGTCATTCAGAGCCGGAGGAGACTTGTCTGATTTGCTACAAAGAAGAAGAAGAGGGGGGCAGCCAATTACTCCTTTCCAACCCCCCCCCCCCGTGTGTGTCCTTTTCGGCCTTTCTGTCTGTCACTTTCCAGACAAACCCTTCCCTCTTCTGGTTACGGAGAACTTTGTGTGCAACTGTGGCTCTTTGAGGGTGAAGCACGATGCTAAACAAACAAGCAAATAAATCAAAATATGTACCAGTAGAGGTGGGGATCCCATATGCTGTTCGTTTGTTTCCTTGCTTGGCTTTGACCAGTTCTGATGATAAAAAACAAAAACACTGTGTGTGTGTGTGTGTGTGTGTGAGAGAGAGAGAGAGAGAGAGAGAGAGAGAGAGAGAGAGAGAGATGAGGCTATATTCACATCATTGCTCTAGCTCCCAAGAAAGGCCGAGTTTTGCTGGACATTGATCAGAACAGAAGCTTCTTCAAACTCGGCCTGACCTGCTGCGCGCATGAAAGAATGAGCATTTCTAGGGGCGTCTCCATTTGTCTGGTTCAGAAATGGATTTCTAAGGAATAAAAACATGGGGCGGTTACCGCCGTCGGTCCAATGTACAGTTTTTTGCTTCTCGGGTCACTGGGATCAAGAGAAGCGTCCAAAGAGTTCAGCTGGAGGTCCACACTGAAAGCCAACAGATAGGTGTTAGAGAAAGAAGCATGCACAAAAAAGCGAGGTTGGATGTGGACGCTGCTTTTTGCCTGGTCTAAAAACTACCTGGCGATGAGCCGAGCAAACAGGAAAACCGTAGGGCTTGACCATGAATATTAGACGAGTGCGTATAATACGGGCGAAATCTGTTCTCTACTGGAGGAGGTTAAAATAAAGTGAGATAAAAAATGTAAAACCTCTTTGCTTTCCTAAATGCAAGTAGAGCGACTGGTTTAGGTAGCCAAAATGAAGCTTTTGGTGGTTTGACGTGTGTTTGTAGGTTTTAAATTGATCTGTTCACTTCAAAGATCGTGTAATCGCTTCTGTGTATGTGTAGCAAAAGGGACAAGAGTCCACGTAAAAACTCTTGCAGAATTCCGCCATCCCGCTTTTGTTGATTTGTCTGTGACAACCCCAAGAAAGACCCGCCATAGCAGACGGACCCACACCTATGGCGTGTGGGTCCTCTCCGCTTTTGCGGTGTGTATATAGGTGTGTGTATAGGATTGCGGACACCAAGGATAATAGAAAGTTTGGGTGCTCTGTTCTCTGATGATGGGTCTTCCTTCCGCAGGAGGTAGAAACCCAAACTGTACTCCCTTCCTAGTAGGCGGGGTTCTTCCACTCCTGTGGAATGCTTAATCAAAATTACGAGATGGTCGCGACATCGCCCTCAACCTGCGGCCTAACGGATTATTCCTTATGCGCCATATAACTGCTAATGACGACGGTCTTCTAAGATCGCCGCATGAAGTAGGAGTGACCCTTCCAGTTGTACTGAGAACTGCGGCCTTTTAAATCATGAATTTGGACTCCATTCTTTAACCGGACCAGAAATTCAGCTGAACACAATGGAAATTGGCCGCTGAATGACGCTTGAGAGGCATTGACCTCACAGAACGATATCTGGTGGAAGAAGAGAGGGGCACTTCTAATGTAAAACCAAACCCTTGGAACGCATTAGAAAAGAAAACAAGGAATGATGTGGTTGTATTTATTCAGGAGAACCCGAGATGGTTAAAAGTGTTGAGAGAAAAATGTCATCCCCCTTTGCAACCTCTGTTTATGTATTAATGGAAGGAGGTTTGCAACCGTGAGTGGATGAGCGTAAGAGGCGTCTCTCTTCTCCCTGTGGCTCCAGAGCATTCCTCAATGGCAAATACATTTTTCGCAGACTTAGGTCGGGGTGAAGACAAAGTTCATAGAAAAACGAAAAAGCTGGCATTCTTGCCCCGCCCCGTCTCTCCCCTCCTCAATAGATGCTACCACTTAGAAAATACTTTAACGTTATATAAAAGCAGTGCTAGGGAAATCCTTCCTTAACACCAAAACAAAACACCCAAAGAACCCATGGAATCAACTGTGTTCCATGGAATCAGAGGGGGCTCCCTTCCAAATGTGTCTGCAGTGGAGTTCAGTGTTTGGCCCTGATTCACTTCAGACCCACTGAAATCAACAATACTTGAGTTAGCCAGCAACTAACTTGAATTATTGATTTCAATGGGACAGGCCGGCGTAAGAGTGCTACCCAGCTCCATTATTGTTTTGAAAATGGAGCATTGCCATTTACTTCAGGGGAAAGAGAATACACCCAACATTTCTCTGGATTGTGAAATTTCACTGATTGTAATAGTGGCGTAACTCAGGTCCATTTTAATTAATGTGGCCCTTGCTACCTAATGTCCACATTACTACTACTATTAGTAGTATGAGTATGAGGAGTAGTAGTAAAAGCAGCAGCAGACATAGTAGTAGTCATAGAAGTATACTGAATGGTGTCCAGTATTTTTTATTAAACACAAATATTGCTTTTGGTCTAATCCATGGAAGGATGTTGATTTCTAATAACTCAGTTTCCAGGAGTGAAGAAAACCTTTAAAAGATGATGGTGGAAGTCTTTTAATCGGATTTGATTTTCATGAGCAAATGCAATTTACCTGCCATCACATTATTTTGGAGGAAAACTGTCAAGGCCTCTTCCTCCTCCTCCCATCATTTTCTCTGAAAACATTCCTGAGCCAGTTTTAAGGACACTTTGCATTCAAGGATATTCATGTGTTTCTAATGTAATTAAACAGCTTTACGAGCAGCATTTGCTGGACATCCTAACTCCCTCCCTCCCACTGAGTGCTCTTTTCCCCCCTTGGAGATAATTGGGAAATAAGAAAGATTTTCAAAAGCAAATGCTAAAGGGGGAGAAACGTTCAGGAAGACTTGTGCAGAGATTACACACAGAGAAAGTGCATTCCTGTTTAAAATCAGGGTAGGTAGATTACAACACACACAGAGAGAGGAGTGCAAAATTTTATTTCATCTAGTGTGTTTTTTCTCTCCCTCTCAGTGATTTAAAAACCGGCCATTTTCTGAAACCTCTATTTAGAACACAAGAGAGATTTAAAACGTCCAGGAAACATAAAACGAATCAAAGTCAGACTTGGGATGACTCAGTGCCTATTGTTTGAGTACAGTATATATTTACAGTATACACTTCTGTCAAACCTTTTATCGTTTTCCCACAATTTCTAATGGATCCTCTGAGGAATTTGAGAATTTAAGAACTGGCGGCTGCGACGGTGTGTGTATGTGAGTGTGTGTGTGAACACAAATATAGGACTCCCCGCACTGAAGTAGGCGAGAGTCCTCTCATTCTCGCCTGTGTAGGTTAGTTTCTGTTTCTATCTGACCTGCTAAAGCGTTATGTTAAAAGTTATTAGGTGAAAAGATTTTATAACATCGTAGTATGGATAGCCTCGTGTTAAGCAGAAATGTGATATTTTAACTATTTATGGGATTAGGAGTGTCGCTAGAAAGTGATAAATTTATCAATCCACTTAATGTAGTCTTATCAGGCAAAGTAAGATAGTTTGTCCTATATCTTAAGGGGTATGGGGAGAAAAGAAAAGTGCGATGAAAATAATAGCCTGATTTTTTTAGAATGGGCCTGGAGTAGTTGTGTTTTATGTTTTGTTCCGGATCGGTTACAATTTCCGTTGACCAGGAATGTATACCGATAGAACAATATTTCTAATTTATTTTAAATTTCTGCTAGGGGTTAGCCACTGTTTTTAAGAGAGAGAGAGAAATCATCTCTCTCCCTGGCAATCTTTTTAATTTTTGGCGGGAGATCAGATAAATTGCTACCACATGATTACAAGCTCCATTGTTATAAAAGAATAATTAAACATATCCCCGAATCTCTTTGTGAGCGCTCATCGTTCTCCCTGAACCCCGGACCCACTGTATTATTTTTTTAGGTATAATCAAATGATTAGGTGAAGCAGGGGGGCGGGGCGGGGGGAGGTCGATTTACAGTGTATGAGAACTATTTTCCTAAAACTTTTTTAAAAACCCCCCACATCAGTTTCATTTCATTGCTTTGCCTTTACAGAAAGTAGCATCCGGATTGCTTAGTCTCAGGAGATTTAACCATCGAAAACTTATTTGTATTTGGAAGCTGATTTCGAAACCTAAGTATTCATCTTGGGGGTGGGGGTAGGAAGTGCTCTTGACGCTGCAACTCAAATTCCGTTTATTCCGGAGTAAATTTCTTCTGATTCTTAGCACTTGTCTGGAGTAAGTGGGCTTTGTCCTTTTGTAAAAAGTAAGAATAAATCAAGGGACTGTAGCATATTTCCCCCTGCGATTTTACTAACTTAGCGTGTGTGTGTTCTGACCTCCATTTCCTCCTTTACAGATGAATACACCTCTACTATTTTGACAATATTTCCAATGAAGATGATTTTTTAAAAGGAGTTGGGGGAGCGCTAGGTCCAGACGTCTAATGCTCCCCACGTTGAAGTAGGTGAAAGTTGTCTCCTCCTATAAAATGATGGATAAGAGCCACTTGAGGAAGGAGGATAACTCCTCTTCGGAGAAATGCGAGAATCCAGCTAAACTTACCAGTTTTACTGCAGGCTTCTGGAAAGTGGAGCAACAACCACAACTCCTCTGCCTAGTAGCTGAGGGTGGGGAGAATGCATTATTGGGTAATAATACCATCCCGTAACCCTGACCTAAAAATAAATAAATCTGTACTTAGACTTTAAAAAAAAATATATATGCTGAACATAGGTGGGTTGTGTAGAATTCATTTCCCAGACCAAAACCACGATGCTGTTTAATTTATGGTTCTGGAACACCAGGCATTGTGGCCGTTGCTATAACAGAGTTGAATCGACCGGGATTGTCATTGCAGTCCATGCGGTGGCACATAAACCCGCTATTAAGGCGAAACTTCTCATACACACCAGGTTTTCTCTCTTTGCAACCAACTGGGAGTTTGTTTCTCTGCAGGATCTGGCAGCACAAGAAGTTCAAGGCTTTCCTTAAGAGTGAGAGGACCAAAAGCTCATAGTGTTGATGCAGGTAACAGTCGGGAAAAGAGCCTTGATTTCATTCATATCCGAGGGCAGGGCTCGGCCCCTGGGATTTTTGTATTGCCTCAGCTTCCTGATCTCCGGATGTAGCTGGACTACAACAACTCTCCACCGGCCAGGGATTATGGGAGCTGTTTAGTCCAAATCATCTGAAGGGCACCAGGTTCATGAAGCATGCCCTAAATAACTTATCTTCTTCTCTGGGATGGTCCATACCCTCTAGGGTTGCCCAATGCAACAGGTTGTTAGAGTCAACTTCTATTGTACTTTGCTCCCAGACAGTGAGATGTGTTGGTGTGTATGGCACTGGTAGGCAAAATGAACAACCTTTACTCTAGATGGGGTAACATGTGGTTCGTCAGCTGTAGTTGGGACTCCAGCTACCATCAGCTGCAGCTGGTATGGCCATTGTTTATGAGGATGGAAGATGCAGTCTAGCAACATCTGGAAGGCCACCGGTTCCACATCCCTGCTCTAGAACAAAGCCACTGAATTTCATGGGGCTACTGGAGAGTAAAAATAAAAGGCTGTCGCTGGAAGACTTGGACCTGGAAAATCCCTGTACTGGAAATCCTGTCTAAGTAAAAATTTCAGGAGGCCTTGAAGTCTTTTCTTCCTCCCCACCCTGCCTAAGCTTTACTGGGAGTATCAATGAATGAGACTTCTTCCATCCGGTTGTTGTGATGGTGCATGAGATCACTGCTATAAAGCACTTTGCAGACTTTTGTAACCTTCCACATCCCCCAAAGTTGGATGGAAATTAGTGGAGGACAAGATCCAAACCATTTGATGGCTGTTTTGCTATACCTTAAAATTCCCCCTTTCTTTGCTCATTCCGTAGTATACTCATCTGAACCCAGAATTACTATTGATGCCATTAGCCATCCATTTATTTATACTCTGTACGCTAAGCACGTTTAGCTGGAAGCAAAACTCAAAGACTTCAGTGGAACTTGCTTCTAAGTACTGTATAGTACATGTGCTGTCGATAGGAGCATTGCCGAGTTTATCAGTCCCCCTTGTTCTTAAAGGTTTAAGGTGAATTTAAAAAGCCCGTCGACTGAAACGTTTCCTGCCAAGCCTCATCCAAACAGAACCCATCGCATTAATCTGGGTGGAATTTACGCACGAGAACTTCTCAACGGATTGCGCTCTGCATAAATTGAAGCTCCCAGATGGAAAGAGTTCTATATTATTAAGGAAGAAGTAGAGATATTGTCAAAGCTGTACTTAAAGCTGTGTAACGAACTGAATGTGTTAAGAGTTATCCTATAAAAAGAAAAATAACTGCTCTCGAGTAAGTGCATTGTGTTTTGCAGGTTGGGCACTCTGCTCCTAAATGCTCTCCTAGACACCCCAAGTAAACCCGACTGGCCACAAATAAATATCAGTGGGATTTATTTTCAGTTAAATGGTTTTGGGTCTGGGAAGGAAGACACCGTCAAATGGATCTGGAGTATTATGGTTTTGACTGTAGGACTGTCGCTGTCCCTTTACTGCCGATATTTCTCACCTCAACGAAAATAAATGTGTTTTTCAAACTCCAGATAATCCCTACAAAGAGTTACTGCTTTAATAAACAGGAATTTAAAAATCTGTGACCTTCTGGTGTAACAGCTTGCTGCAGGCGACCATATTTCTATAAAAAAATAATGAGACGGGGTGTGTTCAGAAGTACTGTTACTTCATCCGCACGTTCAGTTCTTGCAATGACCGAGGGCGACTAACAGTTCACAGGAAATATTGTGGAATCTCCATCAAACATGACAAAAAAACACGAAGTAACCAAATCTTCCTTTGGAATGCTTTAAGCGACTATAAACACACTGAAAACGCGATGCAACACAAGATCAACACTGGCAAAGCTGCTAATTCTCATATGACTCAATCTCGTCTGTTGCTTTACCGCTCTCGTATGCTGAAATAATTTTTATTTTGAAATAAACTGTAATCAGGATCGGGAAGGATCAGTTTAACAAGTATGGAACATTCTGGAGCTCTGAAAAGACACAACACATACCTGTCTAAGTACAAGGAGAGTTTATATCTGAAATCCCTATTGGCTGAAAGTCGGGATGTAGCTTTGTCTGCAATCCTGAGTCCAGTTAGGTTTCGATCCCGTTACCTTCGCTGCTATTCCAGCAGCCACACTATTACATAATTAATTTTAACCAACACATATTCTGAGTTAAGCAGCACACGATCACATCATATTTTTATATGCCAGACATTTGTATCTATCTAGAAGGTGACACCTTAACTTTTGATAAATGGATGGATTGCTATGGCGTTGTTACAGTTGTGCCCAATCTCCATTAATGTACTTATGTAAATAATTATGGCTGGTGTTGCAATGCTTATAAATCCTAAGGGTGCATTTTTTAAAGTGACTGGGGCAGGATGGATGGTTAGATGGTTGGGAGAGCAACCCCATCTCTGGATGAGGATGAGGATGATTAATCCAGCCTTTAACCTGAAGGTTCCCAGGGTAGTGCAGAAACAATTCATTAAAATCAAAGCAACTGAAATCCATAAAACCATATGGCGCCCCTACCTTCCCAGCAGTCATGGAGCCTTTCATATAAGAAAAAGCACTAATTATTTCCTCGCAATATATATATATATATATATATATATATATATATATATATATATATATAAAAACACCGCCCTGAGTTGGATCTTATCATAGAAAGGCGGAATATAAAGGTCCACAATAAATATATGCTGCTGTCATATTTGGTCTGCACCACCGTTTTGCCTAGAGAAGCCTGCACGGTTTTTTGGGATGAGTAGAACGATTGCTCCCGAGTAAGTAGACAAAATGAACGCTTTGCAGAGAAGGAAGTTTCCCTCTCTTAATCGTTGCGATCCAACTGGAAAGACAAGTGTAGGAACTGTAGTACAGTGTGGGTCTGTTTTCTCCTTCCAGCTGCTAAGGTTTGCAGCTGGAAGAAGAAAACAGACCCATACTACTACTACTACTACTACTACTACTACTACTTTACTACTACCACTACCACCACCACCACCAAAATAGATTATTTTTGGGTGCCCTCGCTAATAACAGCCCATTCCGCAGCTCAGCTAAGTTCAGTTCTCTGGAGCCAGGTCAGTTTAAGTGCCATCGAGGAGGTCAGATTAATGATAACAACATCGATCTGGAGTGCTGCTGGAACCAAGGGGTTAGTTCCTTATTGGGCATTTTCGGGTTTATAGTTTGGGTTTATTATATGCATTTTCCCTCTATTAACTCCAACGTCTAGGAGAGTGCAGTGTCAATCCAGCCCCCTCCCCGCACTGATTAGTTTTCTTGGGAACAGGCCCCCATTCCTTTCGGAGCTGGGAGGCTTGAAGAGCCTTTAATGAAGGGTCTCTGGACTGAGCCCGTTCAGCAGCAACTAGGCAGCCAGATGAAAGCAAAAACCCCGTAGGTGAAAGTGGGGCAGACTTTATGATTGAGATATCGGGGGGAAGAGCCATTTCAACAACAGGCCTCTTGTTCGCGACCTTCTGTGCCCATGGCTCGGTTCAACATAATAGTCCAAAGGAGTTGACTTCGTGCCAGCATCTCAAGGACTTTCTTTCCCCACACGGTTTTTATAACCATGCATAATTATTATTTTTCTTTAAAAAAATCTCAAATGGTTTAGCCTAGAGTTAAATACAGCCATTTATTTCATAGTCAGGTACCGCTTAAAAAACAAAAACACACACACACACACACACACACACACACACACACACACACACGTCTCCATGTATCCAGCTTAACAGCCTTCTGTCGTGCAGATTCCACTGTTGTTGCAGCGGTGGTTGAATATCCGTGGGGTAGCCCTATGGAGACTGCTAGTAATCCACTTCTCTAAAGCTTTGGGTGGGGGGGTAGATATTTTTATTGTTGGGGGCTGCAGGGGTTGTGTCAGGTTATCTGCTATCGCCTGGTGGCTGTCTAAATTGGGGCGCTCGAAGACAAGGGTTCATTTGTCAAGCAGCAAAAAGATATTGGAAGGGCGAAGACTCGAGGCACCAGCTGATTTGGTATGGGCTGCTTATAGCTCAGCAAGCGATTTCCCCCAACTTTAACACGGACTTCGTAGATCAAATCTCACGGGGATTGGGTCTGCTGACCGCTGACGGAGCCTGGGTGTGCTTTTTTGGGGAAGCGTAGTGGAAGCAAGTCAACAAGGGTCTCCGGGGCATGCGATGGCGTAGGGAAAAGCGATGACTCGAAGGAGGTGCAGGGGTGACATAGGCAAGCAAACAAAACGAACAGGTTTCCTGAGCAGTCATCTCAGACCAAGGGTGGTGGTGGGGGAGAGGATCTGACTTGATGACCAACCCATCTTGACAGCCTTCGACTTGCCCACTGTGAAGTTCTTGCCAAAACAACAGCAGAAGAAACACATGACCTACGCATAAGCTGGCGAAACCGGGACCTCGTATGTCAATATCGCAATGAGTGACGTGGATTGTAAGTCTGTCTTTGGGCGTTGAATGAAATGCAATCTGCTGCTGCTTCTGCGAGAGCAGGATGGGAGGGGCGGGAGGCGGTTTCGTGAAAGAGTAAGAGGGAAGGGTATGTGTGCGGATGTCCTGCTAGCCAATTATTATTATTGCTATTATTGCTTAAGTTAACCCTTCTTCTAACGCGAGTTTTCTACGGGTGGGATAATTTTGGTATGTTCGGAGTCAAGTGGGAGAATAAGGTAAACAGTTTGCTGATGGGGATGCAATGGGGAGGGGGAAGAACGAGAAGGATCAGACCCAAAAAGAGCGTGCAAAGGACCAAGGGTGGAGTGTTGGAGAAATCCATACAGTACAGTATTATGAAAACACTCAGGCACCCTTGGTTTGCTCTAGAATGTCAAATGTTTCCGAAACTTACACACCACGCTTTAGTAGAACGGGAATGATTATTGAGGTAAAATGGATTTCAACGACATGTACTTCCATTTGCTGTGTTTGACATCGGTGTGTTAGAACTCACATCCATTTTTACGATGCACGTTTGAACCAAAGTCCTCTCTTGCAGGGAACGCCTATACATGCCTACTCTAAAGTAAACACCCAGTGAATTTAATAGGACGTACTCCTGTGTAAGAGGGCACAGGATTGCAGCCCTCGCTGAATGGATAGAAATAGGTGGAATCCAGCCATCTTCTATGTGTTCAAAATCCACAAAGCGTTTCTTCCTTTGTCATGCTTTCATTATAATTCCACGTTGGCTTCAGAACTGTTGAGCTCACCTGCCCTCTTTGTAGCTGATGAGGAATCAAGCGTTTCAGCAGGCTAACAATCCAATGGAGCAGTCAAATCAAAATGAGCTGGCAGGAGAATTGTCATACGCAACTAAGTCAGATTTAATATTGCAGTTGTTGTGCAAATGTTTCTATGCACAGAGAGGGAGGGAGGGGGAGAGAGAGAGAGAGAGAGAGAGAGTTTTTAGGTCTTTTGAAAACTTCTTCAAATTATGGGCATTCACTTAAATGTGAAAACAACATGTATCCGGTCGTGTGAGAAAGTTAAAAGGATATGTGACAGCAGCAACAATTGGAACAAAGAGTCCTGAATCAATACCTGAGTTGGACATGCATTGGGGTGTGTGCGTGTGTGCCTGTGCGTGTACAAAACCCCTGTTAGTTACACTTTTAGACATTTGGTTTCCCATGTGTAGATGTGTTTTTCTGCTGGATTGATTATGGATTTGTATTTGGAAATATGGCAATTGATCTAATCTGGTTCATAAACGAACCACTTCTTTTGAGATCCCCAGGGAACAGAAGGATGATTTATTTGCCACGGGGAAGTTCAAGAAGAAAAATAGTGTTGTGCGAATGATGAAATAGCAGTGCCTGAAGATCCTGCGGATTAAAAGGGGGGGGGGGGAGCCTTCAGAATTCGTTGCCATGATCTTTGCTTCTGGCTTTCTGCATTTTTAGAAAAACCAAGAAAAGTACCACATTTTAATAGGCAAACAGAGCTGAAATCTATTGGAACAGCACACATTTTAACTCTTTGAGGTGGCAAATGCAATCCCATACACACTTTCCCATTGAACCCAGTTGGACTTCTGAGGAGACATGTACAGTGAGAGGACTGGTACAGTTCATTAGTTGCAGTGGAATCCTTTGTACGTTGAGTCAGAAATAAATTCTATTGAACTAAATGTGACCCACAGATTAGTAAGTGTACTTAGGACTACAACCTGAAATTCCTATCCCATGTGGTCTTCTAGAAGCCAAAGGTGAATAAAGAAGGTGAATAAAGAATAAAACAAAATAATAATATATATATGTATATCTATATAGCGTTTTGAGAGAAATAATAATAATAATATCGCTTTGGATTAAAAAATAAGGATTGAAAACAGTGATTGAAAAACTATGGAAGATATTCAACAGTTACTTTCCTACAGAAAATAATATAATTCTAGAGAGCCTTTGAATATGGATTAAGGCAAGAAAATAGAAAAAGATGAGGGCATAAAAACCATTTGAAGATATTCAACAGTTATAGGGGGGAAAACACTACTGGAGATATCTTGAAATGGAAGGGAACTTTCAGACAACTCCAGCTGAGATTTGTATCCCAGAAACAATGTTAACAGAGATAAAGTTGAGGAAGTGGGGGATCCATGATTTGGCTATGCAAATAAATCAAGTAACCTAAAAAGAGAGAGAGTACATAACATACACATTATAGTAATGTGTCTTACAGTGAAATCTTATTCATGTCTCCTCAGAAGTACGAGCTTCACTGGGTTCAAGTGGACTTACCCTGGGATGTATAGAATTGCAGCCTTAATTGCCTTGCATTGTTGTCTAAGTTGCACATATCTAAATATTTTCTAGGATATCAACCTACCAGATTAATTTACTTGCAGTGTAATGTTAAGGCATGTGGCATCTTCATGTAAGTACATTTCAACAGGGGCCACCAACCCTTTTGGGTCAGTGGGAATATTGAAAATGTGTCATGGCTGCCATGGGGGCACAAAGTAACACAAAATGGCTGCCATATCTAAAAGGACATCAAAGGAAAAGAGGAGCACAAAATGGTACTGTCCCATCAAGAGAAAAAGGCCTCGACTACACTTGCTCAGAGAGAGACACTCTTTGCACCTCTTCTCTGTTCAGAATGGAAGTGAGTGTTGGTGTTCTGCCCCCTGGAATCCAATGAAATCCATGTACGTTTAAGTGGGCATGTGCAATGTAGGAGAGGCTAAGCTAGTGGAAACAGGAACTGAACAAGAAGAGCAAACAATTTTCTGAGCTTTGTGGATTTTTACATAGACCTTTCGTGAGTGCCATAGGAAGTACTGTCAGGCCCCTTGGAACCTGCTGGTACTACACTGGTGACCTCTGATATGGGCATATCTACAGCTGGACTGGTGCAACATGCTAGAGTGGGGTCTTCCTTAGGGTTATTAAAATAATACATACCCATAACCTTCAAACAGGACAGAATTTGATTGCTAGTATTCTGGCTGGTTTACAAAGATGAAGGCATATTATAGTCATTCTGAAGGAGCTATACTGCTTCACTGTTGAGTGCAAATCAAGGTGCTGGTGC